TACCTTTCCCTAAAAAGATGAAAACGTCATTCTTTCTTCATGAGTCTTAAATTATCTTTAGTGTGTGACCCATAGGCTTCTCATCATATCGGGCAATGTACCAGTATCACGATTAACACCAATTAATCGTCTCACTAATACACAGACCAAGATTGGCCCCTAGCAAGGCATCATGGCCACCCGATAGATTCGGATTCAGCAAAGTAGCTACCTGTCAACGATATGGTTACCGTACAATTCGATCCTTTCATCATACGTTATCTCGACGAGACGAAGGCATAGAAATAGTGTCAACCTTCGGTTACTCTCGATATTACGTATTCAGTTTCTGGACCAATGACCTGTATTATAATCCGGATAGAGCAACAACTCAATCCCACTATGGCCACAGTTTTAGTGTCATCACCATATACTGAATTACGCCGTGAGATAACTTCTCCCATACCCGGGAGTGATGAATCCTCTATCAATCCACCATAGTCTTGATACACTCCTTGATGCAGCCAATCACCACCGTATTGACAGCTCTGAATAGAACTGCGTTAGGCTAGTGTTAAACTGCACCAATCGGTGCATAAGGTGCTCTGGGGATCTCAAGTCTAAGGATCACATGTACCACCATTCGTTAGAAGATTTATTCCATAGGCACTGAGGTTACCATCTATATGGAATCCTCTGGTGGGTCAGTCCAGTGAACTTGCTGCGGTATATCCGCCTACAGCAAATACCTATGTGTTGCACCAGGTTGTCACCAAACAACCTTGATAAATAAGATCAGTCACTGTCTTTCGACAGGGTCGTTCAACACTATGATAGCCTTATCGTATTATCTGTGCCCCTACTTTAGAATAATACTAGGACTATGGACGTTTCTAGAATGGCCACCATATGTGCTCATAGGGTTCTCACTATCAAGATTTGAAACACTTGATACCCTTGTCACGGTTCTACCATTCTAAAGACATATATCAATACATATTGCAATAATAATGATTTACGTGATATAGAATAGAATGCCTTTTATTATTGATTAATGAACATTATTTCAAAGAGTCAATTCTACAATAATTGATTGGCTCTAGGGCATCTACTATATATATATATATAAGGCGGGGCAGGGTAAGACCAATCCCATCCCAAATTCGGGGACCAATTTTCGGCCTAAGCTCGGCCCAAACCCCGAATAATTCTGGGAAACTCCATGCCGTTCGGGATGGGTCCCTACAGGAGCGGGTATTATGATCATCCCTACAAGCGAGCCTCCTATGACTTGGCTTCCTCGCCAAACTTCACCTTCAGATTGTTGACGTCCTACCTTGCCCCAACAAGCTCTTTCTTAGGCTAGGCAATACATTCTTCATTTTTTTCCACCTTTAAAAGAGCTGGAATTCCATCATGTTAGAGCATGGAGAGACTGACAAAACACTACATTAAAGATGAGAGTCGTTAGACCTGTATTATGGCGAGCAATGAGGGCGGAGAAAAGATGTTTACCCAAGCATGCAAGTTAGTGACTTGTTGCAGTAAACTCACTCGAGGTAGTGACCTGAGTTTGTCACACTCCTCTTCTGAGATGCACTCATTCAGCATTGTTGTCCAAGTAGAAACTCAGTTGGGGAGCTCCAAAATCTTGTTCTCTTGGGGATGACCTCTCTCCTAGTAGGAGGATCCTACTATTTTTGCTTCTTCTAAATGGTCAAAGAAGACTCCTTAACGGTCTTGAAAGGTCACTTCACCACTACGTGTTTTTAGGGTGGCTGTTTGGATGAAATAAGAGGAATGGCTATAACACTCCCAAAAATTGTTGCAATGGAAACAATCTTCTTAGCAATCAGGGGTGCGAGCTTCTTAGCCATTAGGCCCGACGACGTCTCTTTGGAAGCCCTCTTTGGTCTTGTTGGGAAATTAGACATTCTTGCAAAATTGCAAAGGACCTCCAATTAGAAAAGGAAAAAGAGAAGCTTGTTAGCTAGCTATAAACAAAGTGCGAGCAATCTTTACTGGTAGAAGGCACAAATAATTTATACTTCGGCAAGTTCTCGATTGAAATCAACCTAGTCGTGTCACGAAGATGCTTAGGGAGTGAGCTGAAGTCAAATATGCACTCCTAAGATGATAGGGGCACAAAGGGCTGATCTTTGTTACCTGCAAAGGGAAAAAAAACTCATTAGACAAATAGTTCAAGCACTGCTAAGCAACAATAAAGAAAATGAAAAGCAAACCCTATTAGTTTCTCGGAAGGAACCATCTCTTTCGTATTCAAAGAAGAAATAGTTGGAATCGCACTTGTTGACTTTGTTCGGTACTCCAAATATATATTTTTTCGTCTCTTGGAAAAATAATAGGTGAGATCACTGCCTTTCTTCAAGCAATATACATTGACAAGCTTGTTGACTAAGAGCTCGCCCAGACCACCCTCCTAGAAAGCAATATACATCCCAATCATATATCTATATGAGTTGGGAGTTAGCTGAAAGGGTGTTAAATCAAAGTGATGTAGCACTGCCTCGATAAAGGGGTGCAAAGGAATGGATACCCCACACCTTGAAATTGGTTCACCTAGTGTACCCCATCCAATAGGAGGTTGCTGAGGTGAAAGACCTAAATTATGACGCAACAGGGTGGAGATCCCGTATTGCTCCATGACTTGGGCTAAATCCCCTTCAACTGGTCCCAACCAATACATTATTGATAAGGGCTCAACTTGCTCAACCTCCTTGTCCATGGGTCAATCTTGACTTTGTCAAAGTGAGCCATCTCTTCTACTGTTTCCAACAAGTTCCTAGACATTTAAGACATGAATGACAAATGTCAAAGGAAACTCTAGGTAAAAACCCTGAACCTACACTGCACTTCTAGCCAACCAAATAATTTTCCTAGCCTTGATATAACTACCGAGCATAAATCTACTAATGCAAGCAAGCATAACAAAGATAAAGTCGATAAGAAGGCTAGGAAGAAGAATGGTGCACTTACCTTTGCAAAGGTAGTCAGAAGAACGCTAGAGAAGAAGTTGAAACACCAAAAGGTAGTGTCAAAATCTTCGGAGGAAATCCCCAAGAATGTCGCACGATGGATTGAAAACAAAGTATTAGGGTTTTGCAAAAGAAACTTACAGAATAGCCAAAGATGGTCAGCGATGATTCGAATATCAATTTACAGTAAAATACTTTCGCATAGGATTCAACCCTAACCGTTCATCACTTTCACATGGTTGTAATTGAAGGGGAGAGAGAGTAACTGTCAAAGGAAACATGGGTAACTGCACCGCTGTTGTGTCAACATTTAATGCGCAAAAAAGAAATTTCGTCTCAATGCGCCAGCATTAAATGGATGGCCACATCTACATTAAATGTAATGCCAAAAAAGACAAACTTCATTCTTGAGTGATAAGATTTTCTAGTAAGCAAATCACGTTGTTAGCTTACCACACAAGAGTTCATGCCCACACCAGGAAGCAGCTCATGCTCGCATAAGAAAGTATCTGCTCGAGATCGCAGACCGCACATTGTCAGCTCATGTATCGAAGCTCGTAGCAGCTCACAATATCTCGTAGTTTTCGTAGGTCATAATTTTTGAAGCTCGAAATCAACCTTCATAAACTGGGGGGTAGTTATTGTGCAGGAAATCTAGAGCAGATAAATCGCCAGTTGCCATGAAAATATTTTGCGATGTGGATCACATATTCAAGGTTGAAGATCATGCAACTTCCCATTTTATCGAATTTGAGTTTATCTCCAACTCAACCTTGTAATGGGTACTATATAAACCCAATTATAATTTGTGTTGAGGGGATCTGAGAGAGAGAGAACTCGAAAAAGAGAAAATCAACGAAACAGTTCTTTGTAAATTAGATTGTTGATATCATACACTCAATAACATAACAATGGACATAAGTTTTGCATGATAAGCAAACAAACCACTTTAAAAAGTCATTCTTGTTCTTTGTTACTTTATGTTAATTATTGTACATTCGTCATCATATTATTCTATTGCTAATTCATTGGGATTACTCATACATCCTACGTAGTTCTAACATTGTCAATCACGTACCTCTGGTTTGTGTGATTTTCCACATCAACAGAGGTATAGTTGGTAAATTTATTTATGGTTAGATTTCTCCACTAAATGAAATTTTAAATTTTTAAAATTAAGATTACTGATTCGATTATATGTGTTCAAACGTCAATAAATAAATTATATACTTTTCTGTCCAATAAAATAAATAAATAAATTATATAATAAATAAAATAAAATAAGGTGTTTCTAGTTATACAATGTAAACGAATAAGAATTGGGACAAGGTAATGTATCCACCAACCGAACAAATTGATATAACCTAAAATGCATTTAGACAAAGGAAAAGGAAGGACGAGCAAAATTATCGGGAAGAGCAGTAGCTCGGTTGGGTCACTTGGGTGGCACCAGTCCCTTCATTTATTATTATTTATTTCAACTCTCACTACGTGTCACTTTACTTCTCTCTTTCCTCTTCCCTTCCCATACCTTTCTTTCTTTCTCTTCCACATCTAAAACCCCTTTCACTCTCTCCCCCAGTTTCTTCTTGCTTNTATAAGCAGGGGTGTTTTAACTAAACCTGAAATATTGGGAGTTAAAAGAAATTATTCAAAAATTAATAATAAAAATAATATTATATTAATATTTGTAAAGGGGATAATTTAGTAATTTAAATAATATACCCACTAATTTATTCCTCATAACCAACCATATTAATATAACATACCCACTAACTAACTAAATATATTTTCTTAAAGATTTTTAATAATCTTTTAGGATAATCTATCTTTCTAATAAGCTAACATTCTCAATAATCTAACATTTTTAAACCAAATGCCCCAAAATATATTTAGACATAGGAAAAGGAAGGACGAGCAAAATTATCGGGAATAGCAGTAGCTCGGTTGGGTCACTTGGGTGGCACCAGTCCCTTCATTTATTATTATTTATTTCAATTCTCACTACGTGTCACTTTACTTCTCTCTTTCCTCTTCCCTTCCCTTTCCTTTCTTTCTTTCTCTTCCAAATCTAAAACCCCTTTCACTCTCTCCCCCAGTTTCTTCTTGCTTTCTTTCTTATTTAAATACACACAAATTTCATACAATCCAATTCAATTCATCGGTGATTTCTCAAGAATGGACTCCATCTCAAACGGGAATTCGCTGCCGCCGTTTCTTAGCAAAATCTACGACCTGGTGGAGGACTCCTCCACAGATGACATCGTTTCGTGGAGTAGTAGTAATAACAGTTTCATTGTTTGGAAAGTCGCTGAGTTTTCGAGGGACCTCTTGCCGAAGTATTTCAAGCACAGTAACTTCTCCAGCTTCGTCCGCCAGCTTAATACTTATGTGGGTATCGCTTCTCTTTCTTGTTCTTTTATTTATTTGATTGTGTTCGGTGATTCTTTGAATTCTTTTTGTGAATGAAATTTGTGTTTGTATTGAATTGTAATTGATGCTAAATATATATTAATGATCTAGTCCTGATATTTGAATCAATTTTGATGAAATGCTGCGAAAAAGGGTTTAAAGAATTGGGAAATTTGTGTGTGATTGGTTGGATTTGATCTGTATTAGTAGATAACTTATTAGGTTAAGTGACAGGATCGTCTTGTGTGTAATAAAGTGTTATTATATATTTTATGTAAAGAGGCTTTTTCTTTTTTAGTGGTGATCATCATATGAGCATGAGTTTCAATTCTTTGTACACGGCTGGCGGCTGATTTGATGACAGGGAGCTGAGATTTTTTATCGTTATGGTTGTTTTAAGTACTGAATTGTGAGTTTTCCCTAAGTTATTTGTTACTGTTCATCAAATATGCAGCTAGTGTTGGTCTTGTACTATCTATTCTCGTAGCATAGCTTCTGTTTCAGTTGTTCTTAGTGATACATAAAAATCAAAAATGAAATAATCATGGGCTAGTGTTGGTGTTGCTGAAGAATGGTCCTTGAACGAGCATTCTGATGTCTCATCCATATTTGTTTTTTTCACTCCTGTTTTATTTTGCATTTATGTATTTCTGAATACTATATATTATCATTCTGCTTTTCCTTGTGATCATACTTCTTTTTGCATCCTTGGAAACTCTCGTTAAGTCACTACTATGGGAAGAATATTCTGAATTCTTATGCATGATTTGATTCTCTTCCTCTTATCTCCTTTTTTCCTTCTTGCTCTTGCTCTATCTCTCTCTCTCTTTCTTGCCTCTTTATAAGATTCATATGTTTTCCAATTACGGTGGACAATAAATGCTTTGCGAGGGAATGAAGTTTGTAGGATTCTAATCAGTGTTAGATAGCAATAATGTCGTATCTTGATTTCTGCTGATTGAAAATTTTGTAGTTGCTTTGTGAACTGTTGTATTGCGAAGATTATGCTTGAATCCTGTACGAGTTGTGTGTGAATATTTGTGTGCTTGCCCCGGGAATTTTATATTATTAAAATTAGCAGTTTGATGTGGTAATTATCTAGAATAATTCTAATTTGGGAGTACTTCGAAAACTATGGATTTTTGAGTTTGATGTGTAATATTTAGTCTTGAGAGATGAATGGGTAGCAATAGTAACAATAAGTATTTTCAACAACATCAGTTTTAGATTTTGGGAAGAAAAAGATTAAGGAAGAAATCACTCTCTGAGAGCCTCAGTATGCTAAATCAGTCATAGGAAATATTAATAGGATTGTGTCTTGCTCATCCTATTAGTACTAGGGCTCCTACAGTTTACGAGAATAAGGAATTTTCATGAGAAAACTGTACTTTAATCTATGTAAAGCCAAATTAAATTCCTATGTAATTAACAGACTCAGTAAGACTCGGTGGCATTCTAACAATAATTAAAAAATAGTAAAGAATCAAAACAGGTCTGAATTGATAACTTTCTTAAAACAAGACTGGTAATTTAGAGAGATTCTGAAAGCTTCTAAGGTCACTTTGTCCTAGGCCAAAAAGCCTCTTTGATGTTGTAAGATTCATGGATTTTGCTCCAGGATTTTATGGAGGATATTATTCTCTATTGGGTAAGGTTTTTCATCAATATAGTTTTCATTAAGTAATTTTAATAGGAATTGTTGCTTGTTGCTTCACGTAATTTTTGTGTCTGTTTATTACATATTCTAATTACTTTCAATTTTTTTATTGTTAATTTAATTCTCGTTTGACATGCTGCTTATTGCTTTGTTTTACTTTTTTTTTATTTTTCCAGACATGCATATTGCATGCTTATGAGTGGTTCTTCCACCAGGTGCTGGAATATATGGATATTTTATGTTGTCCTTAAGTGCTATTTTGATGGTCTGTGAACAAGTTTTACTGCCCACTCTGATAGGGAAAGATGAGTCATAATAAAAGATGGTTTGTTGTTTTTTCATTTCCCATAAAACAAACTAAAAATTGTAGAAACACATTCAGTTTTTACCAGTAGTGAGAATTGATTTGAAGATAGTTTGTGCTCGCATTGTCTTATTGTATCACATGAAGGACAAAGGAGATTGCATCTCAAAGTAATGCACCTTATATTAGATATTTCATGCTTACTAAGAAACAGTCACGAAATCTGCAGGCACATTTGCACTTTCCCTCACATGAACTTGCGAAGCTGGGGTTGCTTGAAAGGGGTCCGTCTTTCCATACTTTCTCTTGCTGTGTACATCTGAAAATGCTCGTCAGTTGACGAATATTAGCTGTTCATTCATCTAACATTATTCAAGCAGCTGCATGGCTTGTTATTTGAGTTTTAGCCTTGCCTATAGCGAGGTAATGATTGTCAATGACTAAATGATGAGATAGGAGTTTCTGACCTTTTTTTTCTTTTATTTGTTTTTGTTTCGTTTGCTTGAAATGTACTTGAGTCACTATGGTGTATGTTATCTGCAGGTTTAGATATATGCTTGTGATTTAGTCTCTAGTTGGTTCCAGGTATATGTTGGGGTTTGACCATCCAAAGAAAACTGAATAAAAGGAAAAAAAAAAAAAAAAAAAAAAAGTAGTGAATCATTAAAATGTGATGTCTACAGTGTGACTTTTTTTTTTCTTTTTTGGGCAAATATTATTTGTAACTTCATCATTGACTGTATAAGCCTTTTATTAAAATCTTTTTTCATGATTTGGTTAATTAGGGTTTTAGGAAGGTTGACCCAGATCGGTATGAATTTGCAAATGAGGGCTTTTTAAGAGGCCAGAAGCATCTCTTGAAGAATATTAGTCGGCGAAAATCAGCTCAAGGTCATGGTCAACAACCAGCTCAACTTCAGAGCTCCACAGTTGGGGCATGTGTTGAAGTAGGGAAATATGGGCTTGAGGAAGAGGTTGAAATCCTTAAGCAGGACAAGAATATTCTTATGCAGGAACTTGTTAGGTTGAGGCAGCAGCAGCAAGCTACGGATCGTCAGTTGCAAACTGTGGGGCAGCGTGTACAGGTGATGGAGCAGCGTCAGCAACAAATGATGTCTTTTCTCGCAAAGGCCATGCACAGCCCAGGCTTCTTAAGCCAGCTTGTACAGCAGCAGAATGACAGCAACAGGCGCATTTCTGGTGGCAACAAAAAGAGGAGACTGCCTAGACAGGATGAAGAAAATGTGGCTGGTGCATATAATGCTCCTAATGGACAAATTATCAAGTTCCAGCCTTCAATGAATGAGGCAGCCAAAGCCATGCTGCACCAGATCTCGAAGATGAATGCATCTTCTAGGCTTGAACCATCCATGAGCAACCTTGGGTCTTTCCTGATTGATAATGTTGCTTCTGCTAATACTTTGGACAGTAGGAGCTCCTCTAGTCAAATATCAGGAGTAACACTTGCTGAGGTTCCACCCACTTCTGGGCAGTCTTATATGTCAGCTGAGTCAAGATTTCCTGTCAGTTGCCCATCTTCTGCCATGTCTGAGATAAAAGGTCCCCCTTGTGTGGCAACAGATCGTGTCAAGGTGGATAAAATTCGAGAAATGAATGTGCACAGTGCTAGGGAAGATGCAACTTTGCGTAACTCTCAATTACCAGGAATTGTACCAGAAAGCACTATTGGAATCCCTGATGTGAATTTTGTAATGTGCGAGAATGGGAGTGCAGAAAATATGGATCCAATTGCAGCTGTTTTGGATGGTTCAATGCCTGTAGAAGCTGATGTCTTTTCCCCTGATCAAGATGGAGACATTTTGCCAGATGGGATCTCTAAGCTTCCAGGTATTGATGATGTCTTTTGGGAACAATTTCTTACAGCAAGCCCACTAACAGGAGACACGGATGAGATTAATTCAAGCTCATTGGAAGCTGGCATGACCAATGAGCGAGAACTACAGTCGGGGCAGGAGAATGGATGGGATAAGATTCAACATTTGAATCATCTTACTGAGCAGATGGGTCTTCTTGCATCCGAGGGTAGAAGGCTCTGATGTCTTACGAAATGTATATATGTGCTTCAAGCTGTTCTGAGGTAAATGTTCATCTTGCCTTTACAATAATATTGTTTGATGATGACCTCAGTCCCCACCCTCTAACTATACCACTATCAGGAAATAATTAGAGTTCTGCCAGGCTTCCACGTTTGCAGCCTTTAGTTAAGATTTTCCATCTTTTTCTTCTTTGCTCTGTCACTTGCTTGGTGCTCCTCTTTGTGAGAAAGTTGTCCACAATCATTAGGGCTACTTTATATCTTGCCCACCTTCGCATATGTTGTATAACTGTTTACTGCTTTCACTTCATAACACAAAAAAATTATCTACACAAATATTTTCCTCAATTGTTCCAAAGAAATTATGAGCCAGTGAATGAGAAACACGTTTGATTTTCTTTTTCTTTCTGATATAGCTATAATGCAGTGTCTGTATTCTTATCCCTGGTTTATTTAGGATTGTTTTTCTGTCCTGTTATTAGTGGTGACATACATTATGCTGAATTCTAAACCCTGAATCCAAAACATCAAAAAATATATTTATTACAAAAATATAATTAGAAGAGGTATATTTTTTGAGTTTCCGATTTTGTATGTTTATCTGGTTCTTGCAGAGGTTGATATTCTCCACCGTGGGCATTGAAAGCTTTTTTCGAAAGAGAGATGTCCTTGAAGTTTATGAAACACTTTTTTGCCCTTATTATATGTTCTTAATAAGTTACTTTGTGAGTCCTGGTCTGGGACACTTAAATAACATATGCGTATGATATATAATGGGGTCTACATACATTGTCGTCTGCTGTATATATATTTTCTCATGAGGGGGATGGTTGTTGATGGACCTGAGGATAAAAGAATTATGCTTAACATGCGTATTTTGCTAAAGTGTTTGGATGTGGCTTAAACCATAGCTGTGGCAGAGAAAACATGTTATTGAGAACAGAAATTAGGATCGATTATAAGAGAAAAAATTAGGATCATACTTAGTTTCAACCAAGATGTCAGGAGTTTAAGGTTGTAGGTAGGCTATTTGTGCCCTGTGCAGAACTCGGTGAACTCAAAAGAAAGGTCCGGGGATTTATAGGTTTTGTAGAGTGTAAAATGAAATGAATTTTTCAGAGGAGCAACACATGAATATTTGTTTCAGTTGAAGGTGGGCATAGAATATAGTGTTTCCTGCCTTAAGGTCTTTAACCTGTAAGAAGCTTGTTTCAGGGACAACGGTGGAAGATTATATGGATCATAACCTGTGTTAGATAATTGGCATGGAGTTACCTACAAAGAAGCACTGCCATAGTAAGGTGTAGATAGTATGAAAAGGAATTTTGAAAGTGAGCTAATACCTAAAAATGGAGAAACAGGACTGCCCCGGTACATAGATTGAGACCTTGTTCTGAACTTAGGATTGGAAAATGAAAAGTACTCAATTCCCTTCTAATTGTTTGGAAATGTGGCGTTGAGTTTCAAGTTGTGAAGGTGAAAGATCAATGGTTCACCTTTCTTACTCTCCTAGGGATAACCTATTTGGCATATTTTGTCCCTAACATCTCCAGATCGAATGTTTTAAGGCTATGAGAATTCTTAGTGTAGAACTTTGTGACAACTGCCAAAAATTTCTTTCGAAAAAGACTTGTGCTTAGTAGAGGCAAGTTGGTTGAGTGATGTATGAATCTTGGTGGCAACAAATATACTTTATTTTGTTTGTTGATGGCTTGTTTTTTTGTAACAAATGCACAATTTTTATATAACTTTGCCGGAAACTTTACCGGCAACAAAAGTCGGCTGTTTCTCAAGCTTTTGTTTCATGCCATTTTACTAATAAAAAAAATTTGAAACTTGGTGGTGTTTTTATAAAGTGAAATATAAAAAACAGAATGTTTTGGAATGTTTAAACTTTTCTTAGAGGAAAATCCAAATTCCAAGACTGATTTTATCTGAAATCTAGATAACATCCCTCTTGTATTTCTAAATTCACTTTCCGCTGTATATTAAATATTTTATAAAACCATCTGATGTATCCTTTGTTCTCGTTTATCTTATAAAGAAATGTCTTGTAAATGAATCATTATAATTTTTTATTTTTTATTTATATATTTATTAAATGAATTATTCAAATATCTGTAAAAATTGATCGTGTTTTAATTTAATTGAATAACTTTAAATTAAAGATAATTACATAGATGATATATCAAAGTTGGGGGTGGGCCGGCCTAGGTACTTGCCCAAATCCCATCGAATCAAAATCAGAATCGGCTAGTCTTGGGATTTGGAATTGAAATTGGAATCGGTTGGTTTCGGTTCCTAAATACTTGGAGTCGGTACTGGAATCATAAGTTTTGATTTTGGTTTCAGGTATCCGGACAAAGTCAATTGGCTGAATCACTTTAGTACACACATAACTTTCACTTATTCCTGATCCTTAATACACACAAAACTTTCTACTTAGCAGAAGATTCGTTGAAAAACTTCCAACTCCATTTCAAATCAAATCTTTCTCCAATAAGACAAGCTCGAGTTTCAATAAAATCTCAAAGTTTTGAAAACAGCCTAGAAGCAAAAACACTTCCAAAAAACAACGCAACATTTTAAAATCAAGCCTTGCTCTCCAAAATACATGCATGACTGGTTTCAAGAAACTCACTATGGCATGCCAATCTTCATACAATTCGCTCTACGATTAATCTTTTAATCAAGTCGAGACACAACCGTAGTTGCTATGACAGTGGAGAAGAAGGTGCAAATTCCTTCATTGACAACAAAGCAAGCGAATTCCAAAGAAAAATTGGAATGCTTCGTTCAGTCACTGGTGCACCCTGCAGTCTGTCAAAGGATTTGAGAGCGAAATCAAGAAGTAATTCGAATAGAGGAGAGTGGCAGCAACTAATTCGAAGAAGGGAAGACTGAAGCAATCTAATTGCAATTTTTTCCCCCAATTTGCAAAACCTAATTTCTTATTCAATAACCATAATTATATAATATCATTTGACTCTCGGTTCCTAAACCGGGTTTCCACCTAGGTCGGTTTTAGTTCCTAACATTGGCGAAATCGGTACCGAAACCGTATAGTATCGGTTTCACCTAATAGGGAACCGTAATTGACTCTGTGTGGGCTGGTTCCGAGTGGAAACCAGAACTAGAACCTTAGGTTCACGCTTTTTCCGGATCTATCCTAATTTCCTGCACACCTCTAATCAAAGTATAGTTTGGAAATGAAGTTTGTATGTGTAAACATTACTTTAATTAATCAGAGTTGTGTATAGAACTTGAACTTATTTCAGACTTAGTTGTTTAAATGGTTATTGTGTAACTAATGTTTATAATATAAATCTTTTAATTGTTATTTTACTAGTAAAGAAAGAAAACAAATAAAATAAATTCTATTCATCTAAAACTAGAACTTCCTTTCAGTGAAGATTGTTTATAATTTTCATGCATGTCTGAGATTGTTTTTTGATGTTAATAATTTATTCTTATATTAGGACATCAAAAATTAAAATTAAAGATATTATGTTAAAATGAATTTTGTAGCAGCTCTTTGGGTTATTTGGTGCAACATTGTATTAAATCATTTGAAAAATTAAATTCTTGAAATATTAAAAAAAAATTAAATAATAATAAGTTAATAACTTGTAATTAAAAAATTTTAAAATTAAATCCACTAATTTCTCAAAACCAAAATAGCGTTAATACCAAACATCACCATCATCCACCTGAGTCTCACTCTATCATATTATGACAACCTGTTACTTGGTGTCATTAATACAAGCAAAGTTTCAATGTATTGCTTCACAACATCTTTTATATGTGACAGTTCCAAGAGAGCAAAATCCAGCAGTACAAATAAACCGAAGCCTTGATGAGACCTTAAAGAAAATAAAATAAAATAAAAGGCAGCTAATGCGCACGACCAAATCCAATCCATCCTTCTAAAGTAGTAAGACGCAGAAATTTTCAAATTTATTGATGTCAATAAGAGGAAATCATTTACATGATTTGGTTTAAAAGCACTGTAATGAGGATTTGAGTACCATCTGAAACAAATTACTTTACCATATTCAGCTTTTCTTATGTACAATAACTAGCTTATATGCCATCTGATTGAACATATCCAGCTGCCTTGGATTAAGCAGGATGGCCGGAGGTTTTAAGAAGGAAAACTGCTGGGGAAATGGCAAGAAGGCTATGCGTTGAATCAACTCTTGGTGAGACTTAAGCGACGACAATTATGATTACAATAAGCAAAATGATCCCAAAAATCACTAGCAGCAAGCAACTCTGCATGGAAATAAATATATATATCAAATTCATCTTCTAAGAACATAATGAAAAGGAGAAGGAAAGTTAAAACAAAATTAAGAAAGCATGTCATAAACATCTAATATATAAATTCTATTATCAAAAAAATGAGAAAAAGAAAAAGACTTCAAATTGACAAGTAGAATCTATATTTGACATCTGAACCAAGAACTTGTTCAAAGAAACTCAATGGAGTAGTTTGCATTAAGTAACATAGAATTTAAGAACAAAATATAACAAAAGTTTCAAAACACAAACTGGAGGACTTAAATGTAGATTTGATGTGCTTGCTGGAAATCACCGTGGAGTTGAAGCATTTAATAAAAGAATAGAGATGCACAGATTTGTCCCTGTCAATTACTAACCAAAAGATGTTCTAATTCCATTTTGTTATAAGCCCAAGAATCATCTCTATTTTTTTCCCCACGAATAAGGTAATTAAAACAGTAAAGCAAAACTTAAGGCAAAATTGTAGGCATTATCACCTCCTCTATACATGTAAATGAAATTAAAAAATAGATACACCAATCAAAATTTACCAGAGATGAATTAGACTTCTGAGTCTTGGATGCCTTCACAAGTTGAGAGGTACCTTGCATAGTTGCGGAGCGAGAGCTCTCAATATTAGAACTAATGTCATCTGAAAAGAAACACGTGTTTAACTTTGGATTACGAGAGTTGAAAAAATATTTTCATGAAATCAAGAGATTTAAACTTAAAATAAATTAATAAATATGGAGCACACTAAACTCACCAATAATAACTCCTTGCTCATGTACAAGCATGGCTAAATCTTTGAATATTTCATTTACCTCACCAATCTGTTCCTGAATCTCTTTAATCCCTTGCTCTCTCTCTTCAATAATGGCTTCATTGTATACAATCTCATTGTCCAGTAGTACAACTTCTTGTCTGACCAAAGAGTATGAGGAAAAAAACGAGGTACAGTGAGGAAAGATTTCTTTTCATCATTATAAAGCACTCAAACAAAAATGTTTTAGTTTGGATGCATATTATATTGATGGATTGAGATGGACTAGTAATCAACTTATAAAAAGATGCTTCCTTAATGCAAACAATTTTAAACATCTAAATGAAGAGAATTGAAGGAGAAAAGAAGGCATGCGGGACAAATACACATTGCTTTAGTTCCTCAAGTTTGTGCTACAACAATAAAATGGACTATGATTTTAAAAAGGATTCTAATATGAAGCTCACAGTTGGACCAGTGATCCCAAGCAGCATTAGAGATTTGCTTCCTTTAAGATCTTTCTTATTCAGACGGGGAAAACCATATCAAACTTTATTGGCTTTAGTTGCTTGGTCTAGGATACACAGGAAACATCAAAATGAGGTACACAAAAGGAAGATCATATAATAATCCAGAGTCCTCCAACAATAAATGTTATATAGAAATGGCAGCTTATTGTCTGAGTAAACAGAGCCAAGAAATCCATCTCAAGCAACCCAACAGTTGAATATCATAGGGTAGTAATCAAGGAAAAGTGAAGTTAACTTATACCATATTCATTTTCACTGGTGGGAAAATTGCATTTATACACATCTATTCAGGTTAAGACATTCTGAAGACAGAATTTTATGTCTTGCCACACAAGCATAAAATCCATAATTTCGTCAGAGCAACTCTGTAGACCCAGCTATTTGTGAATGTAAATCTGCAATCACCAAAATAATGAAGTGAATTTGCTTACCTTTTAGATTCAAGAAGAAGTACTTGCTGTTCTGAGTTCCTTGATGAACTTATCCCTGGCTCATGGGCAGAGTAGCTGTACATATGATAAAAAATAAAATAAATAAAGTACACAAATAGTAATCATAGAATATATGGGAATTCAATTATTCATACATGTATTGTACAAAGTTCCAGCATTGATAATTATAACTGAGTCAGCCTCAGTGCAATGTGCCATTGTCCAGCACAAGTTTGGATCAAATGGGCATCCTTGTGAATGTCTAAGGGTTTGTAAGCCACAGAGCACCGCCCAATATGCAACGATTATAGGCGATATTAGTTTGGTGTCGGTGGTATTAGTACTGTGTTATACTTAAATCTTTACTGAGTTGTAGATTGCAGTATGCAAGTTAAATTAAGGGAAAAACATATGAGAATGAAGAACTCCCGCTGATATTAACACAATTTTTCCAACTACTGCCACGCTGGTAACTGTTGAGCAGTACTAAATCCAGTCCATTCAGATGCTGAAGCAAAACTCTCACAGGACATGCTAGGAAAAACTAGACATCCTCATGCGACATGAAAGGAACTTAGAGAAAAGAGATTTATAACATGAAAAGCATCTATTAGTAACATTATATATACATGCACTCATGTGACTGTTAAGCACACATTGGTAGCCAAGTTCTGCTAATTAGTTGGAATCTATAAATTATATGCCACAGAATCTGAACTTTTTTATTTAAATAAAGGAATAACTGTAGAGAAGCAATAGATTATACTCTTTTAATTTCCATCCCAACTTTCATTCTAAAATCATCCAAGTTCCAAATTAACAAAATTTTCATGAATTCTAAAACACCTTCAATTCTTTCCTAAGAAACCAATAATCCTAATACACATTCAATTTTTTTTTCTTTTTTTTTTTTTTAAAGTAAGAAAAATTCATGAAATCCTAGCACATCAACGTTATTTATTTAAATTTCAAACAAGTTGATAATTTTCCAACACTTAACTCTTATTTGCCAAGTTTTCATCTTCTAAACTTCTAGTTCAGTTTTATTACTTTTAAAAAATTCATTTGGTCCTCTTAATATAACTTAACCATGTCAAAAGTGGTGGCAGCACTCTAGGGCTTCAAACTAAAACGGTCAAAGTCACTTACTAAAACAGATAAACCAGTAAGGTGGCCAGTAATTACATGGATGGGTGAACTTCTTTGGAAACAGTAGGTGTGTATGTAGTTTCCCTCTCAGCTGCAAGCCTTTGAGCCTTCTGAAATTCTTTAAGGACTGATTGGAAATCTTTTGCAAGCTTAGCATCAGCAATCTTCTTAATGGGCTGCAATTTAATGAGAGAATTTCAGTGCTTGCGACATAAATCACATTTTTTTCAACATTACAAGAATTAGATAAATCAATGAAGAAGTGACTCTATCTTACTAAGGCAATTTGCCCACTAGATGAGAGAAAAGGAAAAAAAAAGTGAACTGGGAAAAAATCTAAATGGCCTTTTGACTAAGATGACAATGGAGGGAGATTCAGCCATTTCTGAAGGTTGCTGAGGAAGGAAGGCTCTACATAAGGAATGTCAGAGTATGATTGTATTATTAAACATATTAGTAACAAGTTGAGGTATTTAAAAGTTACATTAATTGGACTCATATCAAGGGAGGTGGGAGCAATTTTTTCTGCTCATGTTTATTTAAAAGTCCGTTATTTTATGACAATAAATTGCCCTCCACAGTACTTACCAGTTCATATCCATTCTCTAACAACATTTCTCCATTTCTTCACATATATAAGAAAATAAATACTGCATCTTCACTTACACTGACTTCCACGTTGTGATCAGCTTCACTCGCTTGCTTAAGTTTATTTGAAGTGTCTTTTACCAGTTGCCCAATATGTAGCCTTGTCTTGTGCCTGCCACCAAACCCAATTCATATTAAAGTCTAGAAGATGAACAAATAATGCACAATTTTCTGCCTATGATACCTCCAGAATAAAGCAAATGAAAATTTCTGTTCATGCAATGCATAAAAAATAGCTTATCCATCTATTTAATGAATTAAAAACAGAACATCAAACCAAAATGTGAAATTAAATATTAAATTTTTATATACAAACTCTAATTTACTTCCTACTCAAAGAATTCAAGTAAACAAAAACGGAACCCTAATACAAAAACCGACAATTCTACGTTAACCCCCCCAAAAAAAAGAAAAAGAAAGAAAGAAGACAGACCACTAAGAGAAACCAAGAAGTAAAGCAAATTAAAGTGGAAAAAGCTCACAATTTATCACGCAATTCGAGGGTATCTTTGGGGGTTCCGAGGGAATTAACGAGGCGAGAGAAGGAGGAAACAGCAGTGTTGATACGGAAAATTGCAGCAGCCACCGCGTGAGAAGGGTCTTGGAGTTGTTGTTGTTGGGGCTGTTTTTGCTTTGAATTGAAGAAGTTTTGTCGGCGTACACCGCCGGCTTCAAGATCTTGGAAACTCATTGGTTAATTTGGGAATTGAATTGAAAGAGGAATAATGAATTGAAAACGGAAGAGAAGAAGTTTGAATTGGAGTTGGAAAGGGGTTAAGTAAGTAATAAATAGACATTAAATTAATAAAAGTTAGTTGACGAAGGCGAGTCAATGTTGGCAAGAAGTTTCCTTCCTGGTCCCACAACTGGATTTCGGGCCTTGGAAGCTCCCCCCACGCCCTTTTGGCTGTTTTGGCACTTGGACACTTACTAGAAAACGTCATCAATACGGTTTTCACGACCTGGTACCAGGTTTAGGGGGTGTTTGTCTAAACTTATAAGCTGGTCAAACTTACTTATAAGCTCTAAAATTAAGCTGACCTATTTGTTTATAATTTTTTTTTAGCTTATAAGTTGAGCTTATAAGCTAAAAAAAATAAGTTGGGGGGGAGGTACTTTGTTTTTTTTAGCTTATAAGCACTTTGCTTATAAGCTAGTTTGACCAAGTATATTACCACATTATCCTTATTTAATTTTAAAATTCCATAGTATGCCATTGTTTAATGTAGTACCTTTTTTAGTAATTTTATAATAAAATGTACTTATAAGCCACATTTTACCAAACATGTCAATTACTTATCAGTCACTTATAAGTACTTTAACCAAACACGTAATTACTTAAAATTTCAAATGCTTATAAGTTAATTTTAGCTTATAAGTAATTGTTGCTTATAAGCTAATTTTCATAAGCTCAGACAAACACCTCCTTAATAAAATAACAAAGTAGTTAGTATAATACGAGGAATTAATAAATATTTATAAAATTATTTTCTATCATTTTTAATACCTAAAATTTAAATTTTTTATTATTTTTGATAGAATTAAAGTTATTAATTTTTTTAATTTTAAATAAATTGGGCTTATTATCAAGTACCTCCCCTGAGGTTTCATTTTTCTCAAATTAACACCACACATTTTAGAAATCCTCAAGTACTTTCCCTCATGTTTCTAATTTCTTCAACTACTTCCTCTCGACACCCTTACTAATCGGAAAATACTACACTCATAACCTTTTTCTGAAATACTTTATCTCACAATCTCGACGTGACAACTCATAATTGGTCAACTCGTAATGGATCTCACCTGAGTCTCACCCAATAAATTATGACTGACTAATTATAAGTTGTCACGTCAAGGTTGTAAGAGAGAGTTTATGAGTATAACATTACTCTTATTAACTCCAAGAGCTTAAAATAAATGAGCAAATCAGTCTTTACATAACTAAAGGAATTTAAAAGCCAGAATTTAAAAAAAAAAAAAAAAAAAAAGTTAGAACATTTGAATTTATAAAATGAAATTTAGATTAGAAAATAATTAATATAAAATAACCCCACCCAGGAGCACCCCACCTCCAACAAAACTCAGCAGGTCTGCTCCAACATTCCCCACCCCCGTTACAATCTTAACCCGCAACCTGTAACATCCAAACCCTTCAAAACCCAAAATTGCATAAGTTAGAATGTTAGATGTTGTGGGTCTTTTTTTTTTTTCCCATTATTTTCTGAGTTTTAATGTTTGTGAGGATTGATTCAGTTGGTCTGATGAGACATCATGAATATGCTAAAATAATGCCGGATGTTGTGGATTGGCTTCGATTCTTCAAAGTGACTATCACTCGATCGTATTAAGGTAACACTAGTAGGTCTGATAAGAAGGGGTTTACGATGATTTCTTTTCTTCCAAAGGCAGGTGTGAGCTCTAAATCGTCTGATTCCGCATGGGGGAGGCGATAATTTGGATGCATCAATGGAAGACTTATATGTTTACTTTTAATTTTTAATTCAACAAATGGACTTTTAATGTTTTCTGGGGTTTTAACTATTTACCTCCCTTGAAGTATCTGAAATTAGTTACGCCTAAAAGTATGACATATTACACAAACACCTCCCCTACTGTTAGTGTTGGCCGTTAAAACTAACTGCTTGGAGGGTAAAACTGTAATTTGATTTAATTAAAAAAAAAAAGTGTTTTGGAAATGTTCCATAATCATAGATTATTTAATTCAATTATTGAAAAGCATTTATTTATAAAAAATATATATCTTATCTATTTTATTAATGATATAAATATTTTTTGATATTTCACACTTTTTTCAATTTTTTTTAAATTTTAGTGTTTGTTTTTTTTACCCTTTATTCCTACATCCAGAACATTTTAATATGTTTTCAATATCTCTTTTAAGTATTTAAAATCCTACATAAAAACCTTTAATTTCTAACTATTTAAAATAATAAATAAAAAACCTTCAATTTTTAGAAAAATGTATTATTGTAACATAAAATTTATTATGATGAGAGAGAGTTATAAATGAAGCAATGAATGAGTGCAAATGATAATGATTCTTCAAGTATAAATGCAATGGAATAATAAATGAGTTGAGAGAGAAGAAATGCTTAGATATTTATAGTGGTTCGGAGCTCTATCCACAAACCTCCTACATCAACTTCTTCAAGGCAACCTCCATGAAGTTCCACTAGAATCGGATTTCGCCATTTACATTAGTTTGATAGGATTTCGCTTCTTACAATGTTTGATAGGATTTCACCTCTAGATTTATAGAATTTCGCCCACAAAGTGTTTGAGTAAAAGTTTGAGAAAGATTGCCTCTTAAACTAGGCTTAAACACACAATAAGAGCAATACTCTTAGAGGTTTACAAATGAGTGCAAGAGAGTGATGCTTGACATAGAGGAACGGGTGTTCCATCATCGCAAAAGATCGTTTTTGACACCAACGGTCAATTCGTATAGCTTTAAAGTTTTTAGTATGATCATTCCGCCTTGAGGAGTGGTCGTACCATCACCGTGAATGGTCATTCCACCACAAGGAATAGTCAGTCCATTAGCTCCTTAAAATACATAAAAATTCCGAAAGCATGCATGACTTCTTGGAATGTTGATGTTTAGTCAAGAACGATCAATGAGTGTGAATAGTCGTTCCACCACAGAGAACAGTTGTTCTGCTTTTGATACAAGAACTTCAACTTGATCTTCAAGGCTTATCTTCGAAGATTCGTCAAAGGCGCAAAAAGTTTGAATTCTTATAACTTTGACTTTTGACTTGGTTGGAACAAGTGTGTTGCTTGGTAATGCTATTGTGAGCAACTAAACTCCATTTAGGGTAGAAGCATACACAATCACATGGAACATCGTTGAGCTAAGAAGAATGTGCACCTAGGAAACTTTGTGATATAAAGAACGGTTGTTCCTTTGTCCTGCACGATCATGCCAACTAGGAAAATGCATTTTGTTTTTTGTTATTTTTTTTGTCATACCTTAGAATTTTTGTTAGATAATCAATCAACTCTTTAGTAAGTTTTGGCACATCAAAACATGTGAGGGCTTAACAATCTCCCCCTTTTTAATTGATGACAAAACTAAACAAAATTTGAGTTTCCTATGAAAGTATAAACTCATTTACAACATGCCAAAGACAAAAATTGGAAAGCTCCCCCTTTGAATATGCATAACCCAAAAACAAAGTGAGCACAATGATCCCCTTTACACCAAGCATATCCATTCTTCTTTTCAAATAAGAGTGTAACACTCACTTTGAAGATCAAAAGAAGAAATTCACAAACATTTCAATATCTCACACAACTCAAACTCAATTATCTCTCCCCCTTTTTGTCATTAAACAAAAATATATCAATTAAAGTAACACATCAACACAATGACATGCAGGAGTGATGAAAAGAAATGCATTATGTACATTAATTATGCAAAACCATATCATACACATCATGAAAACAATTATTAAACATCAATACAAAGTTCAAGTGTCCAAAATGACAAATATGTTTCCCATGTGAAAACGATAGAGATCAAAAAATATATATGTATTAAAAAAAATAAAAAAACCAAGTATAGACTCGAGAAAATGGAATTTGGCTAAGGTTGAGCGGATGGAAAAGATGGCATAGATGCTTGAAGGTGGTTTGAGATTTTGGAAATTTGATTAGTCAGGAGTAGGAACTTGTTAGTCATTGCCTTGTCCAATCTCTCAAATTTGGCATCAAAACTGTAATGTAATCTCCACTATTTCACCAACCAGTCATGGAGGCATCGAACTTGACCCAGCCTCCATTCTTATCCTTTTTCTAGGTCCACAGGTTCCTCACTTGAAGATTCAGTCGCATCTTCATCTCATAGTTGTCATTTAGGAGGAATCAACTTCCACTTTCCATTTCTCCTTGCACGAATCATTCCCATTCATTGCAAAGCATTCTCTGTAAACAAGTTTGAGTCATCAAACTTGACTATTTGTTCTTCATCCACATCAGTCAAGGGCAAATTCAGATTATTGCAGAAGAAAGTAACTAGCATTCCCATCGGGATCTCTCCGGAATCCTTCTGAATCTCTTCCAGCTTTCTTATTAACAAGATTGTTGTATTCACATCTATTCCTTTATATGCAATCTTTGTGTTTTGGACTTGGCCTGATTCCTTCTGGAATATAGTGGAAAATCGGCTGGAAGTTGCGAATGCAATCCTGCCGCGGCGGAGTTCATTCTGGAATTTTTGGGAGCTACAGTATGCCATGATAGGGTTTTTTCCTCTGCCGCGGCACGATTGCGGAAAAAAAAAAAATTAAAAAGAGAACGCCCCGTGAAAAATAAAAGATAAAAGGGACAACATGACTTTGGAGAAGGGGCAGGGGTTTTTCTGTAGACAGAAAAGTAGAAGTGGAGATCAATTGATAGGTTCTTGTACCATTCATGCATTCAGTAGAAGTTGGGGTAGAAATTCTTCAAGGCATCAACCTTCCAAGAGTCTAGCTTTCAATTTCAGTTCATTTAAATTTCAGTTTCAGTTTGGAATTACTGTAATGATGTTTTCACAATTTGTTTTGATTTTGACTACTTTGATTATGGAGTAATTTTCTTTTGTTAAGGGGCAGATCCTACCAAAGACCATGTTGACTTGATTCTCATTGTTTTTCAAAGCATTCAGGAATTTATTGTTCAATAAGAATCTATGTTATTTGCTTAATACTTTGGACGTTGAGTTTCTTTAATTATTTGGGGTTTTAATTGAAT